AATAGCTCGCGCAAATAAATGCCATAACTCACGGAGTTTACAATCCAAAAACGAAATAACGATTTCATTTTTATGCCGCCATCTGCTTCGCTTAGGCTAATGAAGCGTTCGGAGAATACCAGCTTTGCATTGGCTCGTCCATTAGCCAATTAAATAAATTAAAATAATATTCACTGCCGTGGCCGGCAGATAAATACAAAGGCACCAGCTCCACCAGCAGCTGAGCATAATGGAAACATATTGCTGGCAAGGAGGCGAGCAATAACTTCATTAACTTCGCTGGAGCAGGACGCTACATCAGATCCTTAAAGGGACCAGATACCCAAGTGGAATCAATAAGTCGCCGGACATTGTACCAAAAAGCCCAGCACAAAGTCAGCCTCAAAAGAAAGTGGTGAAATAAAAGAAAGGACCTCGATGAGCCGCGGTACGAGTAAGCAGATCAAGGACCTGGGAAAAACCATCATGATTTATTTACTTTTGAATGTCTTTCAGCTCAGACTCTTGACCCCTACCTGCGGTTCCGCACACATTTGCCCAGTATTTTATTGGCTACGTGCAACTGCGCAAACAAATTTACATGACACTGAACTGAAAGGTGCTTACCCACCTGCTCCAGCTGCCTCCTCCGCTCTCCACCCGAATTCCTCGCCCCTTGGAGCACTTTGGAGCCCTCAAACATTATTGAAAGATTGATGAAAGTTGCGGCGCAGGAGTTTTTTGGCTTTCTCGTTTTCTAACTATCAAGCGAGCAGCCCAAACGGGAAAATTCCCGGCAAGATAAATGACTTGAGTTTCTTTTTTACGTACGAGTGTGTATATATATTATACAATGTGTATCTGCGGAAAATTATTGCTGTGCCTGAATGCTTATAATGAATAATGAACGATTTTCCGCCCCCCTTTTGCGTGGCGTTTTATTGTGGCCAAACAATAAAATGCCTCGGCCATCCAGTAAATTTGCTTGTGGCCTGGCCAACAGAAGAGCCCGATAAGGTCAAATTTGGCAAAGCGTTGATATCCCTTCACACTTTGATTTGCTTTCTAACTTCGGGGCTGGCATCGGTATATATTAATAGCTTTTTGCGTATGTGAGCACATACATATATTGCTGGCCAGCTTGGTGGGTGTTTCTAGGCCCAATTCAACCGTCAGCAGCTCATTCAACTCGCTCCCATTTGTCTGCCTTTCGGTCGATTTGGCGGGGGTTCGTTTGATTGAACGCTGCTCATAATTGATACATTTGCAATAGATCTGGCTGACCCATATTTTCTGGGCTCCTGCTGACCATGCAGTAATGATGAAATCGGGATTCCCCCAAAACTGGGGTCATTGCAAACGTTCATCTGGTAATAATGACAGATATTTTTAATTAGGGCGCTCAAGGGGTCAGTGTAAAATGTAAAACATGAGCCTGCATCAATGGGATATTGGATATGTGAATTAAAGTAGCTACACATTCAGTTTTTGAAATTCTTTATAAATAAAAATGTGCTTTTATTCACATGGCTTAAGGAATATTTATGAGCTTTGGCGACCTTTCCGCATACATGACGTCCAGGCGACTTCCGTTTCCGGTTCAGCTGCGACATGGGAAAACTTTTAGCCTTTATCGTTTGAATTTCTGAAGCCATTTCTATGCGGTCCTTTTCCGTATAAATAAATTCCAATGCCTGCACATTTCTTTTGTTTTACTCGAACCTCTTCCCCTTTCCTTAAACTTTAACCCTGTAGCATCGGCATGCATTTGGCAAGGAAATTTTTCTCGTTTCTGTCGAGTAAGGATTGTTTAGCATTTCCGCTTAAATTTGTTTAGCTCGTAATTCTTCGATTTTCATTTACCCAATGGAAAATACATATTTAAATGAAATGCAACGCTGTCAGTTGAGCAAACTAAGCGCCTTCAAGCCACAAAAATTACACTTTCAACTGCAGCCCGGCAGAGTTTTCAGCTCTGACATTTTAAGTAGGCATTGTCGTGTGGGGATATACTGGGAAATTTGTTGGGCGTAGAAGCGGGAAAACACTGCCTAGAACAGAGACTCTGTTGTTTGTTTTGTGATTTCCCAGCGACGCCGCACTCGTTGGCCCCACAATTATGATCACACACACTGCCTCCTCGATTCCGAGCTGGAATTGAAATAGAAATAGAAACAGAGCAATGACTGGGGCTCCCTGGCATAATAGCCCAGCACACAGTGGCTGCAAAAAGTATGCGAGCACTCACAGAATCACTCGCCAAGTTCTGGCTTTGTGTTCATGTTTGCGTTCATGGCTGGGTAATTGCGGCAACGCCTTTTGGTAGCGCAATTGTGGCATTTTTGCAAGCGAACACAGACCAACTGAGCACACTGCAAAAATAATCACTTTCGAGAGGAATAATATTTATTTCCCTATAATTCTTATAATATGAAATAAATTAAGTTATTACAATACCATCATTTAAACTTCTTGAAAAAATCCATTCGATTACAAGTTTTTAAGACATGAAAATACCAAAGATTTTGTTGCAAATATTAAATGTATATCAATTCCCCATTCATTTTTTTCAAATTTAAGTGCGCAATGCAAAATCACAAAGCCATTTATAAAAGTCCAACGAGTCTTCACTCCATCAAATTGGCCCCAGTTTCTTTCTGTCACCGCCAGATGGCCTTTTAGCCGGTTGTTTTCAGCACTTAAGTATAGTAAGTAAACGGATGTTGACTCGCCTTTTGTGTTTTTTATGCAGGCGGTTGTCGTTTTTTGTTTTGTTTATAATGCTAATTGTTGGCGCGTGCTTTCTATTCATTTGTAACGCGACTTAAAGTAATAAAATAATTAAATAATTATTTCTTTTCTTCCCAGCAGGTCGGGGACCTTAATTTGCTTGGGGCTTATTTTAAACGTATGATTTAAGAGCTTTGTCCACGCGCGCAATTGTTAGACGGTTTTCCCCCATGAAATGTTTTTATTTAAGTACAGCCAGGCACACACGACCAAAGAACTTCAACGGCGATTTTTTGACAGTTTTATGGCCTTTTCAGCTGTTTCACCCCCAAAAGCGGTATGATACTTTCGTCTGGTGACTTATTGGCGTAAAAGTTTTAGAGCCTTTTGGCCAACAATGAAGGCCGAAGGCCAGTCAGCAGCAGAGTTTCAGATCGCTATCCGTATCTGTACTTTGCTGCAAAATGTACAAGTATGCCATAAAACATTTTACAGTCGTGCATCTGCGGCAAGACTTTTCACAGATTTTCACAGATTTTCACAGAGCTGGAAAACCGACAGAAATGCACACAGGTTTTCCGTTTGACTCCAGCTTCTAATGGAGAGCAATGTGATGTGGTTTGTTCTTGCAGGTACAGGACACAAAAAGGGGCATTGATACCTTAGGCATAGGAAAAAAATAATTACCCAACCCGAGTAGTGCATTAAATTGGCTACATACTCTGTGTTGGCTACAAATTGATGACCCCTTTTCCTACTTTTCGACAGTACAGTATAATGGTATACCCTTTCCTAGTTTCCCGTAACATTCTTGGCGCTTTTCCGCTGAAAAGCGGAACCTAAAATATTTCGTATACGGCGTGTTCTCAATAAATTACCCAAATTATGGACGCGAGGCCGTCAGGCGCAATGGCCTCCAGGAACGCCTTGGATTGGGTTGGCCTTTGGTTTAACCCTTGGGTTGGTTCTTGGTTGAACCGGGTTGAAGCCGAGCCGGATTCCCAGCTGGCGAAGAAGGCGGCGGAACTGGGGGCGGCGGCTCTTAACGGGGCGGCATCTTAATAAATTCTCATGCGCAACACTTTGACGTTATTAATACGCTGGGGCTTCGAGTGGCGTGCACGCAGCTAAAACCAAACCGCTAACCAAATGGCGGCGAATTTTGCTTAATTACACGGCTTATCCACAGCAGACAGCCGACAGCCGACAGCCGACGAAGGCGGTTGCAAGTTAGGTTTCCAAGGAGCTCGAAAGGGAAAATTAATTTCGAATGTCACTGTGCCTGGGCGTTTGCGATACTGCTGCTCTACATTTATTTGCTTAAAATTCGATCGGAATTTATGGGCGGCTTGTGCTGCAAGAGGCGGCTTAATTAAATAAGAGCAAATTCCTATGGCCACAAGTTCATTGAAATGCGCAAAGCATACAGGTTTAACCAAATGGTAATGAAGCTGGGCATCTAATTTAGTGGCTAATTTCCTAGACATCTTAAGACCGCTTCCGACTTGCTGTCTCTCTGCCAGTTTGAGGAAATTTCAGTGGAAAATAACTCACTTTTCACCTTGTCATGTTTAACTGGCGAATTACGAAAGGTTTCCAAGCCCGCATGGGCTGCTGCACTGGGAGAAATGCAGCAATTTTTCCAATTCCTTTTCCAATTTTAATTGGAAAATACGTATTTTATTTTCTTATAAATACTGAAATTTATTTTACTGAACTTGCCTCAAATCAACTTGGCTTCTCTCAGTGTACTTCCAAATTGACTTCGCCATTGATGAGCCCCGCCCACCGATGTGGGCCAACAATCTTTCTGCTCCGGCATATGCCCACTGTCAACGGAATAATCAGCCAGGCGGACTGACATGTTAAGTCAGTGTGTCGTCAAGCCGACTGCGAACTCACCCTACACACCCTGCACCCTGCTCCCCGCCATGTGGCATGCCTCGGTTGTGTCCTCTTGTTTGTGTTTTGTCTTGTGGCATTAGTTTAAATTAATATCGGGCCCAGAAGGTGCGGCAGGCAGCCCAGCCCGCATGCAGAATCACATCGGAATCCCTTGTGTTTTGGGCACTCACTTGGCTTTGGGTTAGCTAACGATGGCGAATGGCAGGCGATTGGAGGCATAGCCCGAATTAAAATGCCTTGCCAGATAAACATTAATTGGTGACTAAACCAGGACAATTTGTGCGGCACCTGGGGCTGAGCTGTGGCTTAATGAAAAGGAGGGGCTTAAGGAAAGTCTGATGTGCTGATTTCATTTGAAGATATATTTTTGAAATAAATTGATGCCCGAATGGAAATGTTTATTAAAATGAATGAAGCCTAAGCGCAAGGAGCTGCTAGTCAATTTGCATCGCAAACAAACGTATCCTGCAGAAAATCGTCAAACGCGGCGTCATCCATCAGACCCATTTCCTCCTGGAGCCACTGCTCGTGGTCAATGCCTCTGAGTTCGCACACGACCTTGAAGATTAATTCCTCCTTCTGGGCGTAATAATCGGGCGAATCAATTTGGGTGTCTAGTAGATCCGCTTCCCGCTTCAGTTGTAATAGTTTCCCATGCAACTCAGGGCGCTCATCATCGCTTTCTTCGGCTGTCCCAAGGGTGAGCTTGGCCAGAAATCCCGACAGGTGACTCTGCGGGCAGAGTCGGCCAATTAGCCACTGACATGACATGGTTAATCGGCTTGGCACCTACCACCTTCGATTGGCCACCCAGCAGATTCTCATCGTGGGCAAACTCGACCGCATATCGCAGGCTATCCATGGCGCTGATTCCAGCTTGGCATACGGATTCGTCGGAGGTCTGGGACAAACTGGCTCGTCACCAGTTATTGGCCTGCAATTTGTTTACATTAGGCATGGTGTGGGTTGACTCGCTTCATATCATGCACCTAGCCCTTTCCCCGAGGCGGCCTATGTGGGCTTACTTGTTTATTTTCGTTGCCACTCATCGACCCCCTGAATTTGCCCGCGAGCTGCGTTGAAGTTTGGCGTTTCGACACGTAATCAAAACGGCAGCGATTACTCAGCTGGAAAGTGTTTTGCAAATCAAACATCTAGAACTCGGTTAGTAAACTAAAAAGGGTAATTAAATCCGCAGAGAAACTCAGGCCCAGAGCAACAAGGTTTTCGGAATCAATGCAGAAACTTACTATAACTATGGGTCTGAAAATGCTTATATCCCCTTTAACTGAAAACTTGGAATCAAAAATTGTGCCTTAAATTATGATACATAATACCACTCTGCCCTGAGAGACAAATAATTATTCTGCTAATACAAAATACCCCGTAATTGCCTCTTAACTCAGCTTTACTTACACTCAAGACCATTTTTCTGTAAGGTTCTATGGGTTTTGCCAGCTCGCAGGGAATATAAACAAGGAATTGAAAGTCAAGCTATAAATCAGAATCAAATTGGGCACACTTGAAGAACATATTTATCTGGTTGAATTTTGATTTTTCGCATCGGGTAACGTGAAGAATGCCAAACAAAAGTTTGGAAAAGCTACCGTAAACGAGCTTCATGCTCAAGCTGCTGCAGTGAAAAGTAAATAAAATGGATATAGCCACGTGAAATTCGAGTCAGCCAGTGTAAACAGAATCAGAAATAAAACGATAGCATCGAATGGCGCTTAGACAAATAAACAGAGAATGCGAATTGGGAATGCCATGCGGGGAAAAATGAAAAGCGGCATGTCGGACCAATAAAACTTGAATTCTTCTGAATTTCACTGCCAACTTATTTTCATATTGCTTAAGGAATAAAATAAAAACCGAGCCACAAGTGCTGTTTGCGCTGTGAAATATTTTCAGGTTTTGTGTTGAAATATGCAGCATTCGAAGAAAACTGAGGCAAAATTTTATAAAATGCATTTAGCTGTCAGAAAGCGAAAATACGCAGGGCTTGACTAATAAGTATACCCGCTACTATTAGAGCAGTTAGGTTACTAGACACGTGTAAAGTATCTATATTTACTTATAGCGTTCTCTCGGGTTAATTTGGTATTTAGGCCTTGCTGCATTTAATTGCCACAAGTCAATTCTCCGCCAGCAAGGCAGAAATAGCTGAAACACGCAGTGTGCCAAATTAACATAATTAAGAAATTGTGCCTCCATTAGACACGGAAGTTAAATAAGCCACGCTGCGGCACCCGGAACTGCCATGGAGCAACTGCTTGTGTCTTTGGCAAGGGAAATGAAATAAATCAAGGCTCATTGGAGCCCTCGAGGTGAACAGGACACATGTTGTTTGTGCGCCGGCGGCGATCGCCGACTTCGCCTGCTCCAGTGCAGCAAGTCGGGCCAAAGCCAAGTCGACAGTCGCTGTCAACTTAATCATCGTCAAGGCAGCGCACTCAGCCTCCGCCTCCGCCTCCGCCTCCGCCTCCAGAAGGGGAATTCCAACTCCTTTTTCTGGTGATAACACGACATATTGCCAGCTCATTATGACCCGCCTGTCTGTCTGCGAGTGTGGGCGTGTCTAACAAGTCTAGCGCCCATTGGGAATGCCTTCTTTCGTCGGTTTTCCACTTGTTCTGCGGCTTTCCAAAGTCTCTGCACTAATAATAGCAGTATTACACAAGTAATTAGTCACGCATTTAATTATTATTTATGGGCTGTGCGACAGTGTGGGTGGCTTGCCTCGCTTATCTTCCTTGGGCGCACCAAATCATCCTCTTTCTCGTGTGCGAAACAATTATTACATGTAATTATCCACTTGAATGCCTGTCCCTGAATCATCAGCAAGCCCACATATGACACATCAGATAAAAGTTAGTAGTTCTGCTTCGGATTGGCATGCCATTACCATATGCATGTCTGGGGAGTAAATTATAGTGAAGTCTTCAAAGCTGAACTGCTCATATCCCTGGGGTAATAGATTCGATAATGTATTTTGGCACACGTCGAGTTATTTTCGTAAGTGGAGTGGAAGAGTGCGCTGCCTTTAAGATACAAAATGGGCTTTAATCAGTGTGAGTTACTGAGCATCTTGTTTTGATCACAACTAATAAATGCCAGCCAATTGAATTGGGTGATAAATGTGCGAGGGCAGCTGCTGCAGTCAATCGGGTTGGAGTTAAAGTTCAATCACGTAAATCACGGCGCCAAATCTCAAGATGTTGGTTCGCACAAACTTTTATCGATTTAAAACTTTTGGGGCTGGCCAGGAATTATCAGCTAGCAAAACTTGTAGTCGACAGCTGCCGAATGGAAAAATGAGATTTGTTTGTTGCATAATAATTGGCGGCAACTCTTCGAATGGCCCAAATCGAAGCCAAGACTTTGGGCCAAAGGCAGAGGGAAACCAGATTGGCCAAGTCAAATCTCTGATGATTGGCCCGGCACGTTTCCCTGTCAGCTGTTTATTGAGGCGTGATATAATTAGCATAACATCGACACGGATTCGCCACCAGCGGCATTACAAAAAGAAATACATACAAGTTACAAGTATATTTATGGGGAGGGAGGCCGGCAAAGACCAGGCTTAGGCGCAATTTGCTTAATGCTAAAACTTTTAATCACTCATACGCTCCGTGGCGCCAAGGAAAAAAGGAGAAGGCAAAGAAAACGCAAATTTTACGTCACGGAGAAAGGAAAAGCTGTGCTGCTTCTGCCCGCAGCAAAGGCAAATAGTAAACAAAGCGTTGGGCAAAATGAAATAAGTGTAAATACGACAAAAATGTACTCACACACCCACACACGCACCCAAATGGGCGTGTGTGTATGCGCATCTGATTAAGTACAAGTGTGTGTGTGTGTGTGTGAGTGGGGCCTGCCCAGATGACTTTTATCCCCACCGGATGCGAAGATCCGTGGGGTAGTTGCAGCTCCTTGGGGGCCGCTCCCCGCTCCCCTCCCAAAAATTCATTTGCTTCGCCTTAAGCTCGAGTTTAATTCCTGCTTTGACTTTTGCAACGCACACTCAAAACGGCGAGCACAGTGGACCCTCCGAAAGTGAACATTTCTGGAAACATGCTTTATAAATAAACTAAGCCATATAACAAAATCAAGTAATGCGCTTTAAGACATATGAAGAAAACTACAATCGTTTGACTTAGCTGAAGTAATTTGTTTTGGGGTCTCACTGTACTTTTTCATTCAAGACTCTCAGTTTGCAAAGAGGGCTACTGTAACTTTGTTAAAAAATATAAGAAAAACATTAATAAAAGTATTTTCTGTCTTTTTTTAGACAAAATCGATCAGTTAAGATAATAAATGAAGGCACTCTCTTCAATTCAACTCTCGGTGGGCTTTAAATACGAAGAACAATTGCATTTTCTTAGTTAAGCAAACTTTGTAAATGAAAGGGTGTCTGCGAGTTCAGCGCCTCGATGTGCGACTTTTCTTTTACTCCTTGTGGTTTTTCCGTTCCACAGATTACAATGTAAGCTGCGGCGCGTTAAAGTGCGACTGTGTGTGTGTGTGTCAGTGGTTTGGGTACTGGTGCTGGTGTGGCTGTGTGTGCCGACCTATTTGCTTAAACACACTCTAACTGGCACTCAGCCCGCTTTTCCACTTCTCCACGCCTCCGAGCAAAGAGCTGCGCCCTCGGAAAACGGCTCGCTGCGTCTTCTACTTTCTCCGCTGCCTCTCATAACACATTAGCGAAAGTGAAAGCCGCCATAATGACTGCCCCCAGTTGCCTTCCATTCGTCTGCTTCTGCGTCTGTGTTGGTGCCCCAGCCCATACATTTATATTAGTTGAGCGGGACGCCAAAAGCGAGGAAGATGCAAATTGGCTGGATTGAGAATGATGGCAATGCGTTCTAAGCTCATGAAAGGCGATTGCTCTACAATATCGTGGAATAATATCCACAGGATTAATTATGCATTTTGTATTTACTCTTCGCAAGTAAATGCATCACAAAAATTCATTAATGTGCAAGAACTGGGTAAAAACAAGTGATAGTGATAAAGTTTAAAGCAAAGAAGGAACCAAAGAGGAACCAAGGATTTTCAAACTATTGCATGATTACGAAACAAGGAACACGAGGCTGCGATTTCGGGAATATAAGTTAATAACCTACAGGATGTTTTTTCGTTCAAGTCCACTTCCGCGATTGGAATCGTATGCCCCTTGGAAAGCTCAATATGCGCGCAGTAACTTCTGCTAGATCCCCGCCCCTTCTTTCCGGTTGCCAAAAACTTGGACGAAAACACAATTTTGAAATGTCAGTGAAATATAATGGGAAATTCATAGGCAACTACTACTACTGCCGGCCAGTCAACATTCAACATTCAACATTCAACTTTGCAAGTCCTATTTACTCTGGCCTGTCAATGGCGTTCGAGTTCTCGCTTCATCGACATCGAAATTGCCATCCCCGAGCGGCAAAGAAAAACAAACTTTTATTAGTTTTCCGGCCGAACGTTAACCGTATTAAAAGGCACTTGGCAGCAGCGCACTACATTAGTGGGCGGGCCCATATGCGACATATGCGATAAAGCAAAGTGTGTCACACAACTGATAATCGGAGCCACAGCAACAATAGAATGGAAATTGAAAAACTGTAGCACACTTATTCGGGCCTCCGAGTGGCTCGAACTTCTTCAAAAGCGCATAAAAAATCAATGGCAAGTGCCATGTGCGCAATAAATGTCAGCTACAAACGAAAACTTCACATGTTTTTCTTTCGCCCCCCCCCTCGACTTGCCTTTCCAGCACTTCCGCTTCCTTTTTTCCGCGCAAGTGTGTGCGCGTATCTGTGTGGGCGCCAATTTGTAGAGCATACTTATGTGAGCGGAGCGGCCGTGGAATGCCTGTCTCCACACACAAATTGAAATCCGCCATAAATCGGTGAGCGCAGACTGACTGAAAAGAAATAAAGCAAAGTCGAGTCGAGCCGAGCTGCGCTGATGACAATTTATTGTTCACACTTGCAACTGATGATGGTGCTTAGGGGACCACACAAACACAAACGCTTGCCAACGTGTGCCACGTGTGCGAGTGTGTGTGTGTATACGCGTGTGTGCGTGTGCTTGCCAAAGAATATTTCATTGTGTGGCAGGGCCTAAAAGTAGGCTCTACAAATTGCCAGCCATTATTCCTCGCCTATGCCAATACTCCAAAATATATTGGCGATATATTGCAACTTAGAGATGGCAGCCAAGCTGGGTCAAATAGGAAATAGCATAGAAAGAGTAGAAATATCTAATACACATATGAACACACTTTGTAAAACACAAAATTATTAAGCTATAATCAACAGAACTTCGGTGAAATCTCTTTGAATAAGCTCAAAGGAGATTGGCTGCTTTCTAATTTAAATGTTGTATTTGGGCTTAGATATTTACTAATAATGCGTAAATTATTAACACGCAATTATGGCACGAAATTAATCCCAGAGCTTCGAATAGATTATTCCGTTTCATTTAAGTATTTTCTAATTTGAATTCGGTAGAGTTGCTATTTTCAATGTTTTGCCAGGTGCTTGCATTTTCGTATCCAGCAGCTATTTTCATTTGGCTCTTATCATAATTTGATGTTAATTCATTCGCTCTGTTTGTGTGGCTCTTATCGGCGTGATAACTTTGCGATATTTGAATTGCACAATATTGTGCGCTTAAACTCCTTCTTTCCGATATTAATTTGCTCACCCAAAAGACCAGCAGGAGCAAAAGAGCACAAGGATGTACCGGAAGTGCTGCGAAGCTCAAGGCGGCGTTGAACAAAAGTGACTGCAGAACCATCTCTTTACGCCATTTATTTCCCAGCACAAGTGCGAGTATCGAGATGTAAATTTATTTTATTTGCCTTTCCCTATGGCTGTACAGGTGTGCCGACGATTTTCAATTGTGCGTCTCTGTGCTCCTGGCAGGCGATGATTTAAATGGCCGGGAAGTTTTGCCGACTTCTGCGCTCTTTCACAACTTTTGCGGGGAACTAAAACTTTGCCAGCGCCTAGGAAAGTTCTTCCCAATACCGCACACATAATAAATGCAAACTTTTTCTGCACCTCAAATGCTGCCTCCAAATCGTTTGATTAAAGCTGGGCGCAAGTTAAGGAGCTTATAGCGAAGCCACTGGACAGACGCTAGATGTTTAACACATTTCAATTCGTGGCACACAACAAAAATCCACTTTCCACGCCCTCCGTTGGCATTTATGAATTGTTGCTGGGGATGTTGCTGCTATTAGGGCTACTAAGTCTCGGCTAATAGCGGCTTTAAAATTTATAGAGTTTTTCGACTGCCAGGCGGCTTAGCAGCGAAGTGATGGCCCCTGCGAGGCAGTCGGCTTAATATTTATTTAGCATTGGTTCCGTTTCGGCCCAATGGTAACTGGTAATGTGAGACTTTTCACTTTCTCGTGCTTTCTTGGCGTGCTTTTGGTTTCGGGTCACCAATTAGAAGCTTACTAGAACCCTTGCCTTCCGAGAAAGAGTATTCACCCATTGGAGTGAGTGGATCCCCAAAGAGGCCCTCGTTCTTTGTTATTCAAGGCGTGGGGCTGGGTTGCTTGCCTTTTGACATATTATGCCATAATTCCTGCGGCAAAACGTTTAGTTGAGCTACATAAATAATAAATATCCAGGCGAAAGGACTGCCTACATACTCGTACACAGAACAGGACATATTCGGGCTTGGGAACCTTTTCGGGCTGATGGTGGACGATGGTGTACGTGGATGTATCTTTTCTTGGGTCTGGTGATTTACAAGGCTTCAAGTCGGAACTTCATGCTTCAAGTGCTCTCTTTTGGCTTTTAATTTGCAATTTGCATTTTTGCCCCAAACTCAAGTCGTGCAGCAAAATTGTTTTCGCAAAGATTTAGCATAAAATATTGAAAACATTTACGCAGAGTAATAGCAATGTGCCAAGACTTATGTAAAATTTATTTTAATTGTTTTTTTTGGCGCCTCTGCTCCGACATTTTGCTGTTGCCGTTGCCTCTTCACATCGATATGCAAATTTGGCCAAGTCCAAGTGACTTGCGAGTAAATCGAAAAAGTTTTGATCTTCGAGTAAAAACTAATAGTCGTAAATATTTATGTGTGCCAATGTTTGAGCTTAGAAATGTGTCCAAAAAGCTGTGCGAGACTTAGTTGCAATGGCTGGGACCAATGGCAGACTGATTTTTATCAAATTTCCACTTTTGGCTAGGCAGCAGAATCGTCTTTTCTTTCTTCCCTTGCATTGCTAATGAAATTAAATTGAAACTCGAATTTGCGACAAGTTTGCGAGCGCAAGGAGAAGGCCTCAAACCAATTGGGATGGCAGAGGGATTTCTAAAGTCTAATCAGGGGCTGCGATTGGGAAAGTTAACTGGAGGCAATAGTTATTTACCGGATTACAAGTACTGGAATCCTTTTCAATGTGTTTTTTGAATCCCTCAAGGAATAATGACAGCGCTTTATGCTCATATAATGTAATTAAACTTAAGGCTTTCATAACTATTAAAAATGTGCTCAATAGGTGATTATTAGTACTGCACTTCATTTAAATATGATAATATTAATTCATGAGCAGTTTTACTGTTTCTGGTTCAGTTCGTATCAATACGAGTATTTTCTGTAATTTTTCAAAAAGCGTACACGCAAATTCTTGCGAGAACCCATAACTCTTGGCAACTAATAGCCAGTGGCCACCGAAGAAGTGCTCCACTTCGCCTCCATGAGCCATTATGCTCGTTCGACGCCTTTGCAGCAGCTGTCTGTGGAAACCGGGGACATTAATCTTCCTGCCACATAGAAATTCATGTGAGCGAGACATTAGCCAACAGCCCCAGGCGATGCTGCACTTTCAACTTCAACAGCGTGTTGAACGGACTGAAACTCGCGCGACTATGTGTTGTATGTACATGTACACATTGAGTAGATATGTTGCACTCGAAAAAGGCCCTGTAATCATGGGCCATCTTGGGTGAGTCCATTTTGTAGAGATTCCCTGGCCGCAGGCTCGTTTGCTTTGGCCACAGCCAACTTCAATGGGCCTAAGCCTGAAATAGGCTTGTCTAGCCAGTGGCGAAATGATACTCCGCTTAAACAAATATACCCGCAGAAAGGGCAGAGGGAAAATAAGAAAACCCTAAACCTTTGGGACATGTTTCCGCACAAGAATGTTGGGCAACAGTCCACGGACCGCTTTTGATATGCTAAATAAAAATGGTGAACAACGATTTTAATAAATATTCCCCACACACCCAGTCGTCAGAAGCCGCAGACAACTAGGAAATATCCTTGAGGACATTGATGGCACCGGCTGCTTATTGAATTTTTCAAAAGCCCTTTTCTGTTTTTGCCAACTCCCTTGAGAAAAATGTGCTTAAAGTGTTCCGAGCCAAGTGATTTTAAGGAGCTGTAGTTGCATCGTTGTAAGGACTTTAGCTGGTTCTAGTCGAGCTCAAAGTTGGCAGTTGAAGGTTATAATTTTTGCCTTAAGTTTCAATAGATTTTCAGGCGAGTCTTTAAGATGCAGGGATTAGCCGAAGGCTTTTGTAATTATTACAAAATTTAATTTATTACGATTACTGAAATCTTACGAATGGTAACTACTTTAATATTCCTGAAAAAGTTCGCTTTTATATACAGCGAAATAAAAGAATCGGCTTCATTGAGACTACTGTATCTTTTATTTCGAAAACCCCGTCATCGTTAAATCGGCTTATACATTTACACTAATGCCGTAAAATGAAATCATTATGCTGACAAGGGTGCCAAATTAATCTAAGCCCCAGAAGAAAAGCCGATTTTCCGGCTGCCACAGATCGATTTCAGCGACAATCAGCGCCTTTTATTTTTAGTTGACCGAAGCCTTGATTTGCCTTTTATGACCGCTCTTAGAGGCTGAAATATGTATATTTTTTGCCTGCCGCTGATATTTTCGCCGCAGTTAAAGGGTATAAAGGAGTACCTCGGCGGAAACAAAGCATGAAGTTTATGACGACGGAAGAGCGGAAAAAACCGGAGGATGACGGCCATCAACCGCAGCAATCGGTTAAACCAACCAAAACGGGCCATTAAGCTCCCAGCAACTGAGCATTTTTGGGAACATTTCTGGGGCCAAACAACAAAGCAAAAAGAAAAAAAAGTACAAAAAGCGAACTGCGATCGTTAAATCAGAAAGCCGCATGCGAGTGCCTGCAACATCATTAGTTGCAGTTCACACACACTCAAGTGCAAGTTATGCCACCAGATAGTTGCCCCACGCCCATCTGCGCACCTTTTTGCCCGCTTTTGAGGCACTCGCATGCGCCGCATTTTTTGCGAGGTGTCCAAATTAAATTTGCATCAGTTGCTCCACGAGTATCTAAATGATGCCAAAACTGAGAGTGTATCTGTGTGCAGCACCAACAGCAAAAACAACAACAGCCGGGTTGATGAAAGCAGCGCAGGCTGCAGCTGCAAAAAGTGCTGCACTCACTTTGGCATTTCGTATCTAGTTTTATTTTTTGCGAGCTTTTTTTCATGTTTAGACTACTTTTCCATAAAAGCGGAGAGTTCTGTTGCCGCACATTTTGTACAGTGAGCATTGTCTAAGCGAAACTCTGATTTCACTCGTTTCAATTAGTTTGCAGTCTATTTCTGTGCTTTTGGTAGCATCGCTATGTATGTAGTTTGTGTATTTGTGCAATAAATTAAATGCGGTTTTAAATCCTTTAAAATTAAATAATTGAGTAAGCTGCACTATACTGGCCAATATTATATTCATTTTTAATAAGAAGATATTTAAGCATTATACTTAGAAAACTAATAGTGCAGAATTCTGGGCTGTACATCGCGGCGTATACGTAATATAATATTAAAAACTGTCACCCCAAACTATTAAAACATTCGCTGTTTATCTGGCCTAATGTTTGATAAAAGTAAAATAAGTATTTATCATTTGTTCTTTTTGATTTACCTACAAATGTCATTTGATCAAAAAAAGAGGAAAAATGAACATTACCGACATGTGGCCCACTGTAAATCGCTGCATCTGAGTGTGGGTGTGGCTATTCCGCCCCCATCTACTCACTTTCCACATATGCATGCATGAGTGTGCCCGAGCGGGGGGTGGGCACTTAAATAATTTAGATTTTTGTGTCTTACATGCACAAGTGCCACCCCAATGGCCTAAAAGATTCAAGTGCAGCCGGCAAAAGTGAGTGACCCAGTTAGAGAGATTGGAGGCAGTGACAGCAGGAGCTGGATGGAGGTGGACATGGACTCGGATATGAATGTGGATGCGGATGCGCATCTGGATGGGGATGGGGATGGTGGCAGAGCGGATGGTTGTGGAATGTGGCAGCTAGTGCCTTGCAGCATCTGAGTTGTGGGTGGTGCAACCTGGCCATTATCAGCAAGCAAGTCGCGTCGCTGTTTTGGCGACTGCTCCGCTGCCATTATGCGCTCATTAAAATGTCAAATAAATTCAAATGCAGAAAACATGATTTTTCGCTTTTTGCCACGTGGTGCGAAGTGCACGTGCACGTGCGAGGTGTGGATTGCAGTTAACGGTAAAGATAGTCCGTGCTGCATAGTTGCTGAGTGATTTATAATTTATACGCGTTACTTGACGCGAACTTTGAACTCTGAACCGCGCACATTGCGGCTTGGCAATGAGAATACTGAACTTTGAATGCGCACGGAAATGCACTAGGAATCTTTAAAGTTAGTTAACTACTTTTATAGTAAAAATGTGCTGGTGTTAATGCTGCAAAACGTGCTTCTTGGATTTCCTCCTGCTCGGTTTTTTATTGAGATCTTCCTGAACTTCGCATGTAAGAAGAAATGAGTTTTTTGTTGGACAACTTCGGGTATTTCCTGTGCCTAACGGATTTCACTACCCCATATCCACATTGGCAATTAAAATGCACACATTTATTTTAATTAAAGCCATTTCCATTGTTTAGCTGCGTCTTCCGCTTGTAAATAGAAAGGAAATCGTTCATCTGCTGGCCAAGTGTGATATATAATTATTATGAGTGTTTTCCCCATTGTTTTGGTTTTTATTGCTCCCTCGCTATTTGTCCTTTAATCCCAACGAGCCGTAAAATGGCATCTCATGGTGCATTTTTGAAATAAATTCGAGCTCCAATGTGCAGCTGAGTAATATAGTTCCCGTAGTTGTGGGAAAAGAGCATTTTCACTGGGCATTGAGTGGCATTTAATTAATGTTCTCCCTTTTGAACTATTCCTGTCTGCTGTCCGGAGCAGGTTATTTTTTATATTGCTTCTTTCACTTCCTTTCAGGAAAAGCAAGGAAATCAGTTCATCAAACTCTTTAAGCTATTTGTGTTTATTTTGGAGCAGAAATGAAATTTATTTAAAACCTTTTACTTCCCTTTTTACTTCACAGCTCATATCGTGGATGGCAGTAACAACCTGTTGCCCATGGTTTCTGCCCCATCGAGCATTGACAACGATTACGTGTACATAGCCTCGGTGAATAGGAAGTTTCCCCAGTTCGGAAACGCCCTGGATGATGACCGAGAGGCCGAGGAGCAGCAGCCGGAGGAGACCACCTATCCACCACCCGTCTTCGACTTCGGAATGCCCAGGAATATTACCACCCGGTCGGGACACACGGCGGCCATCAATTGCCGCGTTGACAATCTGGGAGATAAATCGGTGAGCGAATCAGTCGGCAAGTGATTGCATTTACCAGCTTATCATTGAATAGATTTCTCCCCCACCGATTTTGATTTTAATGCATTCTTAAGCAAAATATTTGGATCGTCAGTGAAGCTGAAAATCAAGTTAGCGCTAACTTTTCCCATGCAGCTCCATTTCCCCAGTCGCCTTTTCCCATTTCCCGCTTCTTGGCCACCCTTGTTTTGTCGGTTCAATGAAAAAGTTTCTGCCTTCCGCTCAAAACCTTCAGTCTGGCCTTTGACCAATGCCGAGTTTACTTTGCGAACTCGCCTTGTTTTTCCTCAGTTTTTCCCAGTTTTGCCCAGTTTCCCCTTGTTTCCTTTGCTTTAAGCTTTTTAAGTTCCAGGGTATTTTGTATTGGATTTCTTTGACTGACACTATTCCATACTGGTTTCAATCAAAACGGACTAACAAGCTGGCGGCGAACCTTTAGCATTGCAGAAATATTTTTGACAAGTTATTTTCGGTTTTATTTTACTGCCTCAAACGTGCAAACTCATTATAATTTAGTGTATACCTAAGTTTTAAGGTCAAAAGCTCTCATTTCTGAAATGCGTCCTTCGCGTAGATAATTAGAAATGGGCTTTGTTATTTTGAACCCAAGTGCGTTCCCGGATCCCTTGCCTTCCGATTTCGAGCCCTGCCATCCCTCGCAATCACCATCCATCTCGTGCTCACTAGCGTAGTCTGATCCAGATTTACTATCGCTCACCTTGCGGGTCCATCTATTTTCCACGAGCTCATCCGCGCTGCTGGAGTTCCCTTTCGCCACTTTGACACTTTTAGTTCCGTTTATATCTGCTGCCTGGTTTTCTTCGTTTTCCCGCCTTCGTTTAACCATTTTTTCTCTTTTTTTTTTTTGTTTTTGGCGGCTTCTGGGGATGCGAAAAGTTTTGTTTGCCCGCGGCCGTCTGGAAGATTACTTTTTTGCCCGCTGCAGCAGCGACAGGTTCTCCTTTCCATTCGCCTGGTAGTTTTGGGGGCTTTCGGCGACTTTAAGCCGCTCACATTTGGGGCACGCACTGTCTCCATTTTCCCAGCCCATCTGCTCTTTTCTTTCTTGCCTGAATAAGAAATGTTCGTTGTATACGAGTGGAATACGGTGAAATCTGTTTTGCGCTAAGCCATTTTGGGTTAATCCCACCGTGCGATTTGATTGTCTTTGGCAATCGGTTGCAGTGAAATATGAAATCCCATTTAGCTTTCAAGTTGTGTCACTTATCCCCTAAAGTGTAATCATGTTCGGCTCGTTCGTAGCCAGGAGCCACTGTATTTGGGAGCAACCTTCAGCAGATTTAAGAGTTGGCTGCTTGGTTCATTTTGCCGCTTGGTTTATTAAATTTTCGCATCTATATACTTTCGTCGAGTTCCCGAGCAGCCGAGTGGCAGGACCGGAGGCAATTTTTAAAATTGACTTAAGCACTGGCACTAACAACATTTGGTGTCCCTCCTGCTTTTTTCATCCCATTGCAGGTATCCTGGATAAGAAAACGCGATTTGCACATTCTGACTGCAGGCATTCTGACCTACACATCTGATGAGCGTTTCAAGGTGCGTATACGTAATCTGGGCCACAGTTATCCCTCCTGCCCCCCAGTTCGCCCCCGTTCCCAATCATCCCTTGGCCCAGGTAGCTTATTTAATGTCCGCCGGGCTTGTAAGCAAAGTCAGCTTAATTGCGTATGCAATTCGGGCCAAGCAAGTTGTATGCATTGATTAAATTTACCAAGGACTCGCTGGGCCCCGCAACCCAGCAGCGATTTATGTTGCCATCCTGTTTCACCCACCCGCTGTTCTATCACTGTCTGTCTCTCTTGTTCCCGCTGCTGCCGTCCCTCTCACCCGAGCAGGTGGTGCGGACCGCCGACTCCAAGGATTGGACATTGCATGTGAAATATGCCCAGCCACGTGACAGCGGCATCTACGAATGCCAAGTGAATACGGAGCCAAAGATTTCGATGGCATTTCGCCTGAATGTCATAGGTGAGTAAGGCATCCCTGTCTGCTCCATTTCCGCCTCCCTCCACCTCCTCCAGCTCCTCCACCTCATCCACCTCCTCCACCGCCCAACTCCTGGATCCTTTGCAGCCAACAAGGCCTCCCCCCTTTCAGTTGCATACGCATTGTCAGCGAGTGGATGGCATTCGCACGACCTGAAATGGCAACTTTTTATACACTCTGCATTGCTCTACGGCGAAGGGCTTTGTAAATTGGCCGTAAACTTTGCCAGTTTCTCCTGGGCTTGGCAAGATCTACTGGCTTGGGTGTGGCCAAAGTTACTCCTTCGCTGTACGGCAATGGATAGTCGTTCGTCATAATGGTTTATCCCTGCCATGATGGAATTTTTGGGTAATCACAGGACATCACTTTGCAGATTAAATGTTCTAAATTCCCGGGCTTTATTCCAGTTCAAGGTGATCTGAGAACTTCTTTTTAGGTAGATTATGATCTTGGGTAGATATAAATGGCTTGGGATTTCAGTTGCTACTAAGCCAGAACTTTTTAGTTAATTGTTTTCATATTGGAACCTAATTTAGCCATGGTATATTTTATGAAATCATTCAGCACACAATTTTTACCAAGCATCCTCGTTGAACTGTGAAATATAGGACATTCCCAGGATGCAGAGACCCGTTGAGAGTAACCGCAAATAAATTGATTCCTGTTTTTAGTATGCAGAGGCTGGCGTTTGCAAGTGTGAGGGGGTTAGGCTTTAAAGGTGGACTGGATGGGCTGTAGGTCAGACTGTTGGAGTAGCAACCACTGTTGGCACCTGCCAGTACCGTTACTCGTCCCGCCCCCAACGCCCCCGTCAGTGGAAAGTTCGGTTTGTCTATTTTTCTACACGCTTTGCATGCAAACGCAATTTGCATTTAAATTCAATACTAAATTCATATGCTGCCTGTTTGTTATACACACTAGGGCACTGGAAAAGGGGGCTTCCACCCTTTCAACCGCCGCCACAACCTTGAGGCTGAGCCACCCTTCTGCCTCATTGTTCTGCCATTTCACAAGTTTTCTACAATGGATTTCCGGTTGCGAGTCGAGAAGTCGGCGGGGGATAGGATACGGATACCCTGTTTGTTTGCGGCTGTGTGTTGCTATAAATTGCTCCACAAAGCATACACGTTCATGTTTCATTCATGTACGTAAAATTGATTTGGAACTTTTTCGCCGTGCCGGGCAGCCAAGCGAGCAAGGCAGTGCTCCACGTGGGCATCCCCGTATCCCCCGGATCGTCCGGTTCGCCCGTATCCCCAGGATCCCACGGACATCCCGCGCAGTTAGTCTCCTCATTTGTCGTCACCGTCGCAGGGAGAAAGTTTTGTTTGACCAGCGTGAAAGTTAATTGAAATAATCGGGCGGAGTTTGCTACTTGGCAGTGATTGGTTTAGTTTCCAGTTCAAAGTTTTCTCGGCCAATATCAGTAAATCTACTCGAGGGAAAATCTTACAAGCAAATAGCTCAATATACGCGTTAAATTATTATATCCGATTAAATTTTTAAATTTTGATATATTCATTTTCTCTTTAAATATGTGTCCCTTAAGCAGTTCTTACATCCGATTGAATGTTTTGTAATACAAATCTCTTTTTTCAAAAATGATTTTTAATATTTAGTTCCATCTGCACGCGTGTAGATACTTTTTACAATTTATTGGTCCCATTTTACACTATTTAAATTTACAGCTTACTCCTTTTAAGTATAAATATTTGCAGGGCAATTTTCTAGAATTTTTATTCGTTTAAATTTGACTTTAAAGTAGTCACCCAGTGAATCATCGGCTTAAAATCCGTCTTAAACGGGTGTGTAACCCGCTGATGAAGGATAAAAGGCAGCCAGGACAAATTGCCTGCCACCGGCAGGATGCAGTGTGTCTCCAGTTTATAACGAAGTCGAGTCGAGGGGTGTAGCACTCATCAAAAGCAAAGTCGTATCAGCATTTCAGCTTCCGCAGTTGCTCTTGCTGCCTGCAACCTGGCAACCTGGCAACCTGGTGGCGCTAAACATCCTGCCCGCCTGGGAACCCAACTGCACTGCGGCTGTAGTAATCCTTGAGTGCGCTGCCTTTGGACAGCGAAGGAGCGGCGACAGGAAGCCGACAGGCATGTTGCCACCTGTAAAAGGGGCAAGTTGAGGCGGCAAGTTGCGAATTTATGCTAATCATTTGCACCCCAGAAATCGCGTTATAAGTATGCACGCCGTCGTCCTGCGAATCACGTGGTGCGCCGACGGAAATATTATTCACTGATTTATGCCCAAGGAAAGCAAAATGTGTCCCATGAAATATTACTCAGTAGCATATAGTGTTTTTTATGCTGATACTTTAACTGTCCACATGGATTAATTCACTTGGAACTCAGTGATTCGGATACACAAAATGAGCTCACATGCCATCAAAAATATACGAGTATTTGATTAATATTCTGCCCACTTTGTTTTTGCAAAGCAGCTGGATTTATTAATAAATAAAGCTTAGTTCTGCGTTTTATTAGAGCCTGAGTACTAGTAGGATTTCCCCACCCAGAAAATAGCTGTGTTTATTTTCCCTCTTTCCAATCTCGGCCACTGGCGAAAGTCGATGGCATTTAAGACGCTATCTGCGAGGGCGTCAATGGGCTCCACTAATGCCAAGTTAACTAACTAACCGAATCGCTTCCTCCAGCTCCTGCCACCGAATCCAGTGCCAGTGCAGTGTGCTTAGTCTGGGGCGCCTCGAAATCCGCTTTTATGCCCCACCGCCCTGGTCGACCGGCTGGTCGACTTGTGTGGATGCTGCAGCCTTCTGCCCCAAAGCCCCGCCGCACATCATTAACAACGTCAACATTTGACTTTGTTGACTGCCTGCTGTGTTGGCCAAAAACGGTCGGCCGACGCACGGAAAAAACATTAAACCAATTTTCAGTGCCTATAACGTGAAAGTGGTGGTGGTAACGGGATTCTGGAGGTTCGGCTTAGTTCAGTTCCCCCCGCACATTTGTCTCTGTCTGCGGCAGCTGCCGTTCAGCCCGGAAAACCCAATGCCAATATTAGAAAAGCCACACGTACAAACATATATGGTACGTATGTACGTATGGGGAACAACGTTTAATGGCACGCCCTAATACATCGGCCAATGGCCCACCGTCTGGCTCACAATAACAACCGGCTAACAACACTTAAAATGTGTGTAAAATGCGAGACCAGCAGCCAAAGGCAACAGCTTCATCGACAAACAATGGGTCAATGAAATGGCCAAAGGGCGGCGGTCGGAGCAAGTTGTCCCAAAAGCCAAGGCCATCAGGAAGGCCCAACAAATTTTTATGTGCTAGTTTTTTCATTAATTTTGGTCGGGCAAAGGGCGTTCCCTCACTATAAAAATTGTTCTTCATCAAGGAATGAAAATTTGATTCGATGCCATTAAACGCTTTTTACAGCTTCCAGGGAATTCGGCATATAAAATTAAAAGTGCTTTAAATTTTTGAAAGTCAGTTTCAGAAATATAAACAAGCCGCTTTTATGGAACGCATAAAGTAAAATCTCTTCTGAATGAACTAAAGTTATGCGTGGTTTTTAAAGCATTGTAGGTAAAATACGAGCTTGGCAGATCAGAAATAAATTTAAGCCTATCAGAAGGAATCTAAATTTATAAAAGCATTGCAAGCAATTATAATACTCAACTTTTATTGAGGCATTAGCTTTTGAATTGAAGGTGAAGCCTTCCTAAATGCAGGTGGATTTGCTGCAGGCCAGTCTCAGCTTTTGCAGATTAGCATACCCATAAACAATGTGCTCGATCGAAGTCGAAGCTTGTTCCAGTTAATAACACGAGGCCACCGGCTGAATGGAGTACTCGGTCGAGCCTCAGCTTACACAGTAGCTGCTCATTATCAGCTGGAATCTGGGGTGCCAGCCCAGTAGCTCCAAGGTATTCTGGTCAAACATGGGGCTCCACAGCAGCACACGTGCACACAATTGTGGGGGCTAGCATTTGCTCAAAATTGCCGGCAATTCAATCCACCCAATTCAATCCAATCCAATCCCAACCCAGCCCCATTCCCATCCGAACTCAAATCAATTGGGTCGCACTGGCATTTGCGTTTGCCGGACGCATGATTAGATGCACCAACCACAAACCTCATGAGCGGAGCGGGTAGAAATGCTATTAATCAAATGCCATTCGGGCTCGTTTCAACGCATCGCAGTAACGCCGCCAGATGCCAAGGCGATTATTGCCGGACCGACGGACCTGTATGTCAAGGTGGGCAGCAGCGTAACGCTCACTTGCCACGTGAAGCAGCCGGCGACGTCGGCGCAGGATATTGGGCCCATTTACTGGTACCGCGGCCCCTACATCCTCACCCCCTTTGTGGCGCATCCGAACGACGCGGCCATCGACTTGCAACGCATCTCCATGGAGTCCACGCTGGCCGAGAAGCTGCAGAGCAGGTGAGTCACGGGCACACTCGGCGAAATCGGGTGCACCTTAGCGGGATACAACTATCAGAATAAATTAGCTGGTATTCAACAGTACCAAAATAAAAAGGTGCAATTTCAAAGCGAGTGTTTCTGTTGCATAGGATTAAGAACAAATTAGTGACTCACCACGCACTTGGCTCTCTTATAAAACTGGAAAAGCTCTCGAATTGCTCGCACTTTCTTTAGCATTTAATTGAACACTTTAAATTGGTTGTTATAATGATTCAACGAGCGATTAAGCGCGCAACTCTCGAAGGCTGGCATTTTTCCTCCAGTTGCCAGCCGGAATGCCAAAGGGGACTTAACGTGCCACCAGGTGCGAGATTTTCCAGTTGCCTCATGGCTGGCATGCCGAGCTTTGATCGATGGAGTTGATTTAATCGGGGGAGGTGTGGCAGGGGGCCGGGCGGCAAAGTTGACGCAATTAAGCTGCACGTTTGCCTTAAGCTTCTCTCTGCTTTGCTTTCCATGTTTCCCAGATTACGCATTGCCAATGCCCAGCTGCTGGACACCGGAAACTATACGTGCATGCCGACCACAGCGGAAGCGGCCAGCGTGGTGGTCAATGTCATCAATGGTAAGAGTGGTCCGGGCGCCGGACTCCGGACTCCGGACTCCCGACTCCGGACTTAACCAAATGTATCTGCTGCAGCCACACACTTCTGTTTGCCTTCCCGTTCTGTCCTCCATAGACGAAAGCCCCGCGGCGATGCAAAAGAGCAGCGCGATCCGGACCAGTGGCAGCATGCGGAGCAGTCGGATGGTCCTCCTCCTGGCCATGGTGGCCAGTTCCGTTGTGCGATGGCTTACTGGTGGCTGCCACATCGGGAGCAGCAGCTGCCGCGATTCCAGCTCGAATTTATCCACTCTGCATATCAATTATTGCAACCTGCGTGCGAAAATCACCAGCCACTTGGAGCAGCATCGATGTTTGGGCCCCGGATCGCTGGTGGAATCATGATAATTAAGTGGCGGCCACTTGGACAGCAAAAACAAACATCTTGTATATAAAACTGAATTCATAGTTAAGCATGACTCATTTGTGTAAATCTGAAAAAGGGGGATGGGAAAACCGCTGTACTAGCGCTGAAATAATTAGTTTATGTTACTGCTTCAACATCCTAAAGTTTATTTCTTAAATGATTGAGAAACTTTGCAACTGTCTGCATTTAGTGGTTTCCCATCTGGCATACAGTAAACTAAACTAAACTATACTTAATGCTAATTTTTATGCCTAGCGTAAATATTTATGTAACGATAAAAATAAAAAATGGTGCCCATTAAACTATCGAATGTAATATGAAATGAAATTGCAAACGCGATAACAGACACAAAGCTGCATTGCATTGTTACTTTTAGAATGCAAATATTATTATTCGTGTTATTTTCCGTTTCTGTTATTGCAATTAGCTAATTATATTCGTCACTGTGAAAACACTTGAAAACCAATTGAATCCAACTCTCATTAAGGCGACAGGCGTTAGAAAATAAAAACTGTTTGAAATTGCATTATCAGCATATACATAAAAGGGCCACAATTAAATTCACTTCGATTTGGTTATAGATTTTCACATATTCACATACTCAGTGTGCAGGACGAGCGATTTGTAAACGTATATATCGAATTTCTCAATGAGAAGCAATGAAATGTATTTTGTTGAAATAAAAACTTGATTTTAACCACATTTACCCCGTACGCACCTGCCTCTTTTTTTTTTGTTTTGCTTGTCGTTGCAGGTATTGATTTTCAGGACATTAATTAAATTTGCCTGCTGCCAGAAATGTGCCATTATGTGTGTGGAGCGTACTTGAAAATGCCCTTTGTTTCATAATTACATCGTTAAATGCTCGATAATGTGCGTGGGCTTAATTTAATTTCGATTAATTCGCGGCCGGACAGGAAAACACGGAAAGTCTAATCGACGCAGAGCATTCCGAGTTAAGGGGATCTCGATAAGCCATAGCCATCGCCATCGCCACGCATCATCAGTTTGCAGACTGGTACACCGCTGCGTATACTTAACTTCGAACTCTGACCTCACCTTTGCCACTTGACTGGTGCCGCCGCGGCATTAAAGGGATAACCATCGGCGCCAGAGGGCCGGGGTCACTGCGGTCAACAACAATACGTTACGCTTTCTAATTCGTTGCGCCTGCCACACGGGGCGTATGCGCGATTATCAGCTACCGCAGCGTGTGTGCAGCGTGTGTGTACATGGTGTGTACATGGTGTGTACATGGTGTGTGTGTGCCGCGCTGTGAGTCCGCATAATTACACGCAGTTGAGTCGCTTAAATGAAATCATAAATTATCCGCGGCCTTTCGCTTAATTGCGTGCAAATATTTTCCCGACGAACGCAGTTCGCGCTGATTGATACATGTTTCAGCTGACTTTGCTGGTAATTTGCAAAGGGTTTAGGCCACTGATGTGCGAGTAATTATGCGGAGTTTAAAAAGCGGCGAGCGAGCAGTTCTTTATCACCAAAATGCCCACTAAATGCAGGTGGGCCATGCAGAAACCCATTTGCCGTCCAATTTGGCAGCGCTTGTAACTGAAGACTTTTGGCAAATAAAGTTAGCAGCTAATTTCGCCTGGCAATCCGTGAGCGGCTGCAATTAAAATCTGAAAACGGCTTCATGGCAACTTGAATGCCTGTCATTGTCGTAGCCGTCATATTTTGCAAACTGTCGAGGCAACTCGGCCAAATAAATTGAACCATTAGCACGAAAAGTCGAAAAGTTTCCCCGTCCACTGGATGGATGTTCGCTGCAATTGTTTGTTGTTTACTTGGCAGAAATAACCGCAGGGCCGCAATAAACGAGACTCGAGCGGCGCAAAAAGTCCAACTCGTCACCTGTCTGCCCGTCGGGCTCCTTGCTCCTTGCTCCTTGCCCACCGCTTTTTCGTCCTGGCCTGGCTGTCCTGTCCCATCCTGTCCTGCTGTCATCAAAGGCAAACATTTATGCAGCTCGGAAGGATCGGGCTTGATGTGCGGGCGTTTTGCTCAACTTTAATTGTATTCGGCGGTATGCGAAACTAAATTTTCGTATTGTAATTCCCCGGCAGACAAAGGCCAAAACGGCAGCTCATAAAAACTTTTATCGTTTTAAAGTTCTGCGAGCAATTACAGTGCGAAAGTTAATTAAGCACCGCAAGCAAATGGGCGGCGGAACAGGGAGTTGTAAGTCACTTTTGAGCATAATTTCATTTGAGCACAGGAGCGTGCCGCTGGAAAATATCCTTATGCCCTAATATATCCCGGCTGCATGCGTGCAAATGGACCTGAGATACAAATCATTACGTTGTGTGAGTTCCAGCCAAGGCGGATAAACCAGTACAGTGGAACCGAGTGGAAACTGAGGAGAAAAAAGGGCAATAATGACTATAGATGGCAGAACAACTTAATGCGTTATTATTGTTATTAAAATGAGAAGTATTCGGTTGTATTAATTTTACCCCTTAAATGTAGCTCAGACTTGCCCACAAAGCGCACTCTTTAGCTCCACGGTGGACTACCAGCCATTCTTCATGCATTTGGGCCATAAATGTACTCAGGCAAATTTTGCATAACAAGGCACTTATTAAAAACATTATTAGCTTGATAAAAATAAATTACATGCCAAAAAACGGCCATCTATTAACATTAATGTTTGCTGACCCCCATGCAGGGGCAGTATCTTCCCAAAATGGCCCAAACTATCGCATAAATAAATGGCAAAAACCACTGACGTTGGCACTTGGCCGGAAAACCACAGATGTGGTGGGTGGAAAATCCCCAGTCACCCACCTTCGAGGCCCGAAATGCAAAAGCCTGTACGATTTAATCTAATCTGCGTCCAATGAAATAAATTCATACCATTTGCGGGATGGGTTCTACAACCCAGTTGCTGTTATTGTTCTGGTTCTTGTTTCGGCTCTTTTTCATCCCGTGCGGCATGTTTGCGCCGGTTTCTGTTTAACTTTTACCACTAATTAAGTGCTTACACGAAAGATTTCAAAGCAAAAAGGGACACAATACCATTGAATGGCCAGAAAACACACACCATGTAAACGAAAATTGAAAACGAAGGCGGAAACGGAAACGGCACACGGCCCACGGCCCACGGCACAAGTTTTTGGGATCCGGCTGGGAGAAAAGAAGAAAGTGTTGGCATTTAATTATAAATTTACACGTTCAGCCACTGAAAAAGAGCAACTCATGCTAAAAAGGGTAAACACATCACCAGCAAAGCCACAAACAAACAAACTTACATCCCATACTTTCCACATCTGCTCCTGAGTTGCGGATCACATTTTGGGCTTGTGGCAGGAAACTTGCTAGAGATGAGTGATGCCAAGTTGGAAGTGATTGCAAAACAATTGAAAAACATGTTTTCTATCTAAAATATTTAAAAATTAAATACCAGCAATGCAGTTTGCTGAGATTTTACTATTGAGAAATTGTAGATCTATTTCGAGCGGCAAAGCAGCTTGTTTTTGAGAAATGTGGAACAAAATATACTCGAAACTGAATAATTTATTTTCCATTTTAATTGTTGGCATTTTGGCCAGCTTTGGTGCCAGTGTAATGGCTCGAATCGTCCTCGTCTGTTTTTTACTCTTGTTTACCCATTTGGTGTGGCTGGGTCAGTCAGCATTGATGTTTGGGCAAATACATAAATACACCTATTTACGTACTTATATCGCCACTTGTTTGCACTTTGGCCGTCTGTCTATATTTACCAACTTGTGGGCGTTTTAGGCCACGCACCTTGGTAAATAAATTTGTTAAAGCGAGTCGACCCGCACACAGAAAATTAAACATATCTCAGCCCCTGGGTGGGCTGCTCAATTTCATGGCATTTAAAATTCACTTAAATAAAACATATTGTACACAATATTCATTTGCCATAAGTAGGGTTGCAGGCAGCAATGTGTAAAAATGATTAATATGTGTGTTCGGTTCGGGTCAGAAAATGGAACACTTTTAAGGGTATTTTAGGTGCTTCCATCATCATTTAGCAGAAGGAGCTCTCCGACTACAAGGACTCCAACAATATGGCACTGGATGCTCACAAAGGCGGCGAAAACTAATTATTGCTATAAACGAATTGTGCTATTTACTGCTAAAATTGCATTGTGAGACTGGGGCTCGTGTTGGCATTTTCACGATTAACAATGGCTATCGTAATGAGGATGTTGTTTTCGAGCTCATTTCCTTTTTATTATTATTATGCGTAATGGCATGTCGCTGGGGCTCAAAAGTGCACTTTTTAAATGGGATTATTTCCGGCGGAAATTAAGATTCGACGTGGTGTGTGCGTGTGCGTGGGGCGACATGATTCCCAATAAATATCCATATCCATATCCATATCCATGTTGGTGTAAGCATATGCCAGGCATTGCTTTAATGCCTGATGGCTATCAGAAGCAGGTCCTTCATTCAATCATTCAAGGCGATCGACTGTCGAAGAGCGAACTTTAGTCGATGTAAAGTGAAAAATCATCTCCGCAGCCAAATGTACAGATACCCAGATACCCTTATGCCCATCCACCCAGTTGCACCCAGTTGGCTGCAGTGGAAATATGACAACTAAGGGACTCCAGTGATAAATGACGCCTCCCCGGGTGCACAATGGGCGAAAGAGAAACAAATGTGCGCCAAGATGCGGATAAGTCGACATCGACGATGATGTTGATGACGCGCACATTGTCGCCCCCGTGGCTTCTGCATGATGAAGCGAATGAATGAAGATTTATGGGGCATTAGACCCACGTACATATGGATGCACCACCATGTGTGCGCCGGCGGATAGTTGCTGCAATTACAACTGGGCTGAGCCGCCGGAGAGCTCGTCTTCCATGGAAATAATTGCAGTAATTTGCAGGGCAGTAATTATGGTGCGTCATTAGTTTTCGAGCCATTCAGCCGTTCAGTTCGGAGTGCATTAAAAATCGGATTATTAGAGAGTTCACATATAAAAGTTCATTGAGTTACTGTCTGAGTATAGGGTATGCAATAGTCATGACGCTCGGCAATAGCGTTCTCCTCGTAGCACAGCATTTTAGTTAGCACAGTCCCATTGAACATATACTATTATTAATTATTTTATTTTTAGTATGCACTGAAATCAAGGACCTGTAAAGAGCAAACATACCTGAAAGCGAATTTTACAGACTTTACAATGCCTTTTAATGATGCGAACAATGGCCTCGGGCCAGCGGAGTGACAGAAATGAAAGCCTTAATTGAATTTTTCTGTTGAGAATTTTTTAATTCCAGCAGCTACCCACGTCAACGATAAACCGAAATATCAGCAGGTGGGCTCTACCTTTCACACAGCCCTTTGTGCCTGTTTTGGCCCCTAATGGAGTTGTTTTCGGGCTAGAACCGATGTTTGGCACATGGTTGGGCCATTACCGGCGAACATCGTTAGCAGGGGCAAAGTCGTCTTAAGGGTTAAGCTCGTTTGCCTGCGATTTGATTTAATAGTACAACTAATTAATAAAAGTTACGAAAATCACTGCCTAAAACCTAGACGCCGGCGTACCGAACTGTGTTGTACTCCAACGCGGCCCTATCGCTTCATTATGGGGCTTAACAAGTTTTTAAATTTACTTAAATGCTTAAGTACGCTTTGGGCGCCCACTGCACTTACTTTGAATGGCTGCCAGACTCCACTTAAGCTGCAAATGGTGTGGAAGAAGGACTGGCCTTTGCACAAAGTTGGCTTAATCCTCGGGGTGTGTCCGAATGAATTTCACGCTGAGATTTGTCTATCAGCAGTTTAATCCTTGCTGTTTTAAAGCCAATCAAAATGAACACTGTGTTCTCAACTGCTCAAGTTACTCATCATTTAAAAGTATTACAAGAATATTTTCCAAGGGATATACTTTTTTGTTACATGTGTTACCTGTGAAAGGAGTTAAGGTGGCATTTCAGTTGTCCAATTTGCACTTACATTCACCCGGACAATTCGTTTATATTGCCTGGCAGGGCATGGATAAAAAAGTGGAAATGGGCGCGTAAATATGACAGCTCCGAACCGACAGTAACAATCATATAGATAGCGGAAAGTTACTTCCTCAGCCACGTTATTAAATAATAAAACGGAGAAATTCACACTCGATTGCATGCATCATTCGAGGTCGATGCTGCACCGGGCCAAAAGCGGCCAAAAGGACGAGGTCCGGGCATTCATTTCGCCGAATGCAATTTCAGCCAGAAGAATGACGACGGCCAAAAAACAGAGGTGGCTATAATGAAAGGGGCGAACAAAGAAAAAACCGCTAACAAGCAATTGAAAGGTCTAAAAACAAACGAAAACTTTGGGTGAAAATGAAGCGTTAAAATGGGAATTTGCGAAACGTATATTAAAGGTTATTGCGAAGTAACAGTCCTGAAAAAAATATTGATTACAATTTGGCCCGCCTAAAAAATGGTAATGAAAGAAATAATTTTTAAAAGCTGTAACACTGGCCTACAAGTTTAAAGGGACTTTGTAGGACATAAGCGCAAATTACAGGACAGCGCTTCACTTAGTTTCGATACATTTATTGCACCAATTGCAATTTACCAATAATTTATCAATTTATTGCACCAGTTTACTATATTAAATGCACCTTGGTTTTCTCTAATTGCCTTAAACTAGTAGATATTTATATTTCCCTATTTACTTTTGAAAAGTAAGTAGGGAATGTAGCATGGTGTTATGTAAAAAGTTGAGTGTCAGAACTGTCACTAAAACGCACACATAAATTACTTATTAAACAAATTAATAAATGATATTAAAAATTTGTCAAGATGCTAACAAATAAAATAATAAAATAGACTGTTTTTCAAATGTTGAGGTGCAAGCAGAAAGTAATAAAAACCTGATTGCAGGATTGTAATGGGATTTTACAACTCAAACTAAAGGAAAACAAGATAGAAATAATTAGAGAAAGAAAATTTTTAAATTTGAAAGCAGATTTTTAGAGAATTACGTTAGAAACATTTAGAAGTATGCCACTTCAAAATCCGATTAAGATAAGTTGAGTTATGGAGTATGAAACTACAGCTTGGGGCATTTTTTTTAATTTTTTTAAATTTCTACAACATCATCACATCAAAAAAAATCCAAAAAAATTTAAAATTAATAATTTTCTAAATTTGAATGCATTTTTTAGAGAATTGCGGCAGAAACTTTTAGAGGTATGCCACTTCGAAATCCGATTACATACTTTCCTTCTGCCCGTTACATACTTTTCAACCAATCTAGTATACCCTTTTACTCTACGAGTAATGAGTCATTACATGACTTCAATAGGTTATTTTGCCAGCCGCTTTTAAAGTGGTAATGCATTAAGAACAGCTGCTTGGACTCAAATGAACACCCAGCGGCTTAGAAGCCCCTCATTAGCTGAGTTGCCTGCTGTAGGTCGCCATGAACACATCGACCACCATCGCCATCGGATTGTTAATATTCATCCCACTGATCCTGATGCAGCAGGACCCTCAAACGGCCAAGTGGTTGGCTCAAATCGCACTGGAGCTTCAGGAGCAGCCGGACAAGTTGGCCTATTGCCGTTCCCTTCAGCAGCAGAATCTGCGAATCTCGCTCCAAGGCACTGGATGTGCCCCCATTCTGAGCAACCAGCTCGGCGTGACAGGTGAAATGCTACTCGAGACTCAGAAGCGTTGCTGGGCCGGATGGGGGCTCTTGGCAGGGCGGTGTCGCAAGTTGGCCTAGTCTTTAAGGTGTGCAAGAGGTGATTGGATTTCCAAAAGCTTGAAGCTAACTGAAATAAAGAACACAATGGCAGGCGGCATATGTATATGCGAGATTTTTGAGTTGATCTCGGGTTTCCCGTGCCATAAAACTCAAGCATCCATCATCTATTCGTGTTAACCCTAATCAAGGAATGGTTCGTTATGTTATGTATACGTCATGTTGGCTCGTCACAGCGCCTCAGGCAAATGACAACAATGGTCGCCGGATGAAGCTGAAGGTACATCGTCGGCCATTTTTGTTTATCAACCTTCCGTATGGAAAAAGTGTCCGAAGGAGTCAATCAACTTCCGCTCCGCCATTGCCCTTTTTTGCTGCCAGTTGGTCCATGGATGCCTTCCTTGGCTGCTCCGCCTGGTTGCCATCGCCACTAAAACGCCCAAATACCGAGTGTCAATCGGAGGAACCGGCAACGCCATGTTGACGCCCCTTTGGACAGCGAATTATGAGTGATTTCGTTGAACGAGGTGTAAAGGGCTGTGAATTTAATACTTTCGCAGAGTTTGTAGGAGCAAAGATGTCAGTCAAATCTTGGTGCTGACAAGTGTTTCAATTGAAGTGGCTAATAAAGAAGTGTGCCAAATGCAATAGCTCTTTATCCGGATAGAGCAAATTTTAAAACTCCAGCAAAAATACTTTTGATAACGCTTCACAAAATCGGAATGCCCAAAACGACGAGTAATTTGATATGTACGAGTAGTAGAGCTTTGCTGACACAGGTGAACAATTCTGTAACATTTAATTCCGCACTGTCTGCAGTGACATGCTAGTTTGTTCTATTTGGCAACTTTAAACTGTTTCCATTGCGAAAGGACTCATTCTTCTGCTCAACCACTAACGAAGCAGAACGGCGAATAGTTACGCAAAATTGCCGACGACCGCGCGTTGTTACGCGCCACGTGTTCCCACAAAGTTGCCATCGCCATCGCCATCGCATCGCATCGCATCGCCATCAGAATCAGAATCACCATCCGGATTCGGGACTCGACCAGACCCACAATGCAGTGCGTCTCAGTTTGGCCGACCGAAGTTTTTATTGGCCAAATTCCGCTGTCGCCGTTCGCGATGCAGTTTTGGCCAGCGAAAAACCCTTGACCTACTACGTGAGTTAACTTGGTAGTTAGCAAAAAAACTTTTGCAATAAAAACTGCAACTATCAGGTATTAAAATATATATATTTTGTTCAATAAATTCGTAGGAATATCCTATTAGGTTTATTGAAACCACTATGCAAAGCAAGCATTTCCATTTGAGCCACTATGACAACACGCTGTATCAAAACTGAAATTCTGAGAAAACAATTTTAGTCGCCCAAAATGGCAGCGTGAGTATAGCAAGGGAACCAAACTATTTAGTACTAATGGGTATATTTAAACAAGTGTTCAAGATTACAAGCCCGGGGATATTCCCCTGGAGGAGCAAGACGATCGCAGATTATTCTGCAAGTACCACTACAAAGGAGTTCTCCTTCTGTTTTTACCCATTTTGCTGGCACCCATTTTAATTGGAACTCCAGTGCTGGTAGGACCTTGAAGGCTCATTTGAATGCATTCAATTAATTATTTCCTGTAGATTTGCCGCTTTATCTACCTAACACTATGCCTTTACTTGATATACATCCTAAACCTAATGGCCAAAGGAGCTGCCGCCTTCATCTACATGGTTTTCATACCCGTTGCGGGCATAGCGTCCTCCAAGCAAGTCAGTGTATCCTATTACACTGATCTCATATTCTTCGTGTATGCCGCCATATTCATGGGCATCATGATGGACAGCTCCAGGTTGAGTGAACGCTTTGCGTTCATGGTAATCTCCATAGTGGGAGGAAGTCTGAAATCGTAAGTGCTAAATGGCAAAGTTTTGAATTACTTTACAACTCCGTTCTGCAGCCTTCAGCTTTTCTTGACCGTCGTCGTGTTCATTTTGGCCGCTCTGGTGAATCCCACCATTTCCGCCGCCTTTTGGATGAAGGTTTCCCAAGCTGTGTTGGCGGAATACGAGAACGTATGGAACCCTTTTATCTGAGCCCCAACTTACTTGCACTCTCTTTACAGGCTGGCTTGATTAAACTGAACACGGAAGAAAAGCCCTACGAGGTTGGATCGTGAGTCCTTGCTTAAAGAACTCCCTAAAGAACTTTCCAAATAATTTCAAACTCCGCTCCCTAGCAAACCGTATCCCACGCGTCCTGTAATCGGCATTTTCCTGACCTGTTGCTACACGGCCTCTTTGGCGTCAAGTGTTTCCCCCATGGTGAATCCAAATGGTGTGATTAGCGATAGTTATTCGGGGTGATTATGGATTTAGTTGCGGTTGCGAAAGGTACGACAGTTGAAAACTACTCTTCTAGGTCTCTTACGGTCACGGAAATTGCGTTGGTCATGGCGGGACCAGCTCTATTGACTCTCGTTCTCATGGTCTTCTGGCTGCAACTCCTATTCCTCGGACTACTCGGAGGCAGGGTAAAGCGCGATCTGGCGGAGTTCGATGGCGCCAGGGGCGGCTTTAAGCAGACCGCGGCTGATAGAAAACAGGCGCTTGGTCCTTGGACAATATATCCCATCTTGGGCATACTGCTCATACTAGTGTTGTTCCTGCTGGTGGCCACTCGCAAGCCGCACATTTTCGAGGGCTGGGATAGCTTGAACCATAAGACGGACTCTGGACTCTCGGTGCCGGGCATTGGCATCGCCATCCTGTTCTTCGCGATTCCGGCAAACTACCTCTTCTGCAGATACTATGTGTGCCGCCAGCCGGAGAAGGAGGGTACTGCCAATTCGCTTTTGGGCTGGAAGGCGGTGAACAACAACACTCCCTGGGCGGAAATCTTCATGCTGGGCGCCGCCTTCAGCTGCACCTATTGTGCTAAGGCTTGTGGATTCAACGACTACATGGTCGATTTGCTGACCTCCGACGATGCCAGCGGCAAGGAACTCAATATGATGAACTTCATCTGCGGCGCCGTGTTTGGAACAGCGATGACCACTCTGTCTCCGGCCACCACCTTGAGCAAGGTGGCACTGCCCACCATCATAAAGGGGGTGAGTCACTAAAAAAAATTAATATAAATTAAACAATAAGGTAAATAAGAAAAATGCACTTAAGCCATCGTATTAGCCTTCCATTGTTTGAACAAATTATATTCAAACATGTACAAGTCAACAAGATTCTTTCATGCATAGCATACTGGATCCTTCCATAACCTTTATTTCTTTGATTTCAGGGAACCTCCTTTTCGTTGCCATTTGCCACCGCGTTGCACAACCAGTTCTTGCTGCCCGTGAGCAGCCCAGGGAACACAATTGTCGCCGGCTGGGGCAACATAAGGCCTTACCAATTCGTAAGTGCTTCGAATTGGTAAATAAATATGTGTAGCTAATCAGGTTTTTTCAGTTGCTGGCTGGCAGTGTATTGGCGCTTTTCATGTTCCTCACAATCGCCGGATTCACCGCGTTGTTCAGCAACACGGTGCTCTGAATGTTCGGTTCAGCTAATTTCCAAATTTCAGTTTCGATTTAAAGCGCATTAAATAAAATTACGAAGTAAACCCACTGCATTGCGGTGTGTAGAGCCACCTTGTGGACACGTTTAGCATGCAAAATCGGAGGTGGAACTGGGTTTCGGGGATTGGGATGGCTGGGCAACAGCTGTTCCACGGAGATTCAGCTCCAGGACAGGTGCTGCCAAAACAAAATGCTGCTTTGGAAAATGTAAGGAGGAAAGAGAGGATCAAACAGCACGAGGGCATAAACTTTCTGACCCTGAATATTTGAAATTCATTTAATTGTGCCTAGGCAATAACACATTTTTAAAGCAGCCCTCACCAATTGAAGCAACTTAAATGCGGATCTTTTTCACTTCGATACTGCAGCGTCACAGTGGAGACATGGCATTAAAGTGTTGTCCGAGGACCAACGCTTTTAAGCAAATTACACAGTTTCGCATTTAGGGTAATCCCCGCCTGGTTGCCTGGTTGCCTGGTCGCCTGGTCGGCTGGTCATTCGCACCTAATTCACAGCGCTGTAGTCCAAACATTGCCCACACAAGTGTTGGCACTGAATAATTTATTTGTTAATTTAGACGAGGACCGTGCGCATCTACATACACATGCACATCCTCTAGCAAACTCTTTCCGGCTGGATACTTTCCGGTTTGGTGTCGAGTGGCTCCTCTCCTGCCAAAATACATTAGCGGCTGGAGGTTGCGGCGTCACCAGCTTTGTGAGGCATTTATATTCAAACTATTTAAATATTAATACAGTGGCGCAGAGTTCGTGAATATTCATAACACTCACGACGATCCAAAATTGCGCATTTAATTGATTTTGTCAAGGTTAACGGCCGCAGATGTTGCTAGTAAATTGTGGAAAAGGTATCCAAATAAAATATAACCATTTAATAATTCAAGTGCGTGTTTATTTTAGTAATACACCATAAGCTGTGCCTAATTTTTATTGAAAATTCAATGCATTCATAAAATGGGGAGCCTTCTTCATGCTGTGACACTTTTTCCGCTTTTATTGTGATTCCTTTCAATTTGCCTTGAAAATCCCATGGGCTTTTCTACTTCTTAGTCAGATGCGAAATTTTCATCTTAAAGTCATTGTGAACCCAAAAGGGGGACGCACAAATTATGCATATATATTCAAATATCATGCACGCCTTAAGCTGATTTTCCACGCTGGCAAATTCCGAGCTCACTGGCATTTCCTCATTCCCAAATCTAGGCTCATTATCCTCCTTGACATCTGCCCAGGATTCGCGGTGAAATTGAAAAATTATTCCCTGTTTTGCAGCTATGAAATCGTATTTCCTTTAAGTGGGTTATCACCATTGAGCATTTTTTAGGAAATTAAATAAAGGAATAGAAACTAGCGTTTAATGATGATTTTTTCAAGACTGCTGTTATATTTAGGCTTTGTATTTACTGCATAAGTGCGGTAAGAACGAGATTTTGTCCCCGAATTGTCAAAAAACCATTTTAAATTTAAGATAATGCTCAATTTTGTAATTGAAATGTTTGCTACGAATAATATTCCTGCTGTGCTGTCAGTTGCAATCGCGTCTGTGACTGATTTTGCTGACAGCAATCGAGGTAAACAAAAACTAAAAGCCAGAGGACATTTTACCCATTGTCTTAAAACAAAAAGACACAATGCAAATTGGGATAAAAAACAGACAGGTTGGAATGGAGGAAAAAATCAGCATCCCAGCAGTTTGCCCAAGAAACAAACATGGTGTCGGATTATTCACCTGCGGCGCCATTATTTCCATTCATTATAACTTCCAGAGTGTACTCTGTTTATATGCATGCACTCCCAAGTATAATAGATTTTCTTGTCGTCATTTGGGTCTCCTTGGGTTGCATTGTTTGCTTTATGGACAGACCCCGAAGGTTTCACTAAAACTTCCAAACAGGAAGCTCAAGTCGGCCATTGTCCTTTTAGACGTCGAAAAAGTGGTCTGGCGGAGATATATTACTTACGATAATGTACATAGATGCTTAAATTGGAGGTACACTAAATGTACATGTCTTTACACCATTTATAATGTTTCCAATTCATTTTACTTTCGCATTTTAATCAGATTTGCGGTTATCTATAAAAAGGCGTGCTTAACAGTCCACTCAGAATTACATTTTTAATCCTTTTTATCGAAAGCCTCAACAAAACTGCATAATGTTCATTATTAATTGAATTCATAACAATATGCGGGACAATTGAACAGTAAAGATAAATCGCATGTTGGACATTTGTCACAGATAAAGTGAACGCAATACGATTATGTTTGAAATGCGGAACGAATGTATGCAAACAACTTGATGGGGAATTCGGACAGCAAAACACACAATAAACCGAAAACTAATGAAATTAAAACGATTTTATCGAAAAACAAATAAACAATTACCATTGATGGCGTCGCGCATGTGCACACGCACACAATCGATAATCATGATGGGGAATTTTATGAAATTTATGTGCCTCGCGATAAAGCCCTCATTTTAGACCAGTCATAATGAGCGACCTATTGGTTTCATGTTGTTGTTAATTTAACCGTCGAATGAAAAAAAGACGTTAAATTAGCACACAAAACAACGCCGACGACGTCAAATGGGAAAATTCATTTGCCGCCGGAAATCGGGCAGCCATGACGCCATTTTTCAAAATGGCTGTCACTGTCCATTTTTATTTGCCTTTCCGCCTGTCAGTCGCCCTATATCTCTCTCTGTCTCCCTCTGTCTGTCTATCGCCGTCTCCCTCTAGTGATTAGCTGTCACGAAGCTGCGGCGAAAGGCAAAAATGAATTATTATCGCGATGCGTTCCAAATGTTGACATAGATTTAAATTATTTGTAACAAAATCAACGAACTGTATCTTCGCCGCTTCCTTCGACAGCCACGCCCCCCTCCTGCTCGTCCCATCCTTCAGTCTCCTCACGCCCCAAGCTCCCACAGCTGATTTGATTGCCCAGCAAAATGTTTAAGCAAACACCGCAAGACGAGCATCTGAAATGCTCTTTTCCAGAATATCTATCCAAAGTGAAAAAGCTAAGAAGAGTGATTGCGCACCTTGGGACTTTAAAAAGAAACCTAAAGCGGAACCGAATTTATATTTCCAATTATCTTAATTCTAAGTAAAATGATTAATTTGTTGTATTTAAATAAAACAACGAAATATGGTTTCAAGTTTAATTTCCAACTTGAATATTTTTCCATACCCCTAAATAAACGTATTTATAGCGTAAATGCATATTACTTAAAAGTTTTGCCATTTTTCAGCAATCTAAGAGCATCGCATCGCCCAAATATATCTTTGCAATCTTAAATGAGGAATTTGCAAATATTCCATAAATTCCGATGCCGCTGGCTTATTACAAATTTCTTTGGGAAATGCTCAGCACGTCGTCGCTGGCAACAAGAAGAAGGCAACTAATAGGCTCAATTAATAAACTTTCCCCGGGCATGGGAACTTGTAATGGCTGGTTACCAAGTTTTTCATCCTGCTCATTTGTTTCGAAGGATAGTGGTGAACAGTTCTTGGCAAGTCCCAGTCCATGGCAAGGCCAATGCTATTGTCATTATTTTCACTGCCATCTTGATAGTAATTAGGGCGCCGGGATATGGTTACAGTATAAACAAGTTGTCAGAATGGCCATAATGAATAGTTTCAGGTCAAATTTAAGGGTTACGATCTTGTTTACATGTCCTTGCCATTCTTGTGCTTTTGCAATGTATTGTTCACCAATTCCTTGTTGATGACTAAGTTGTACTTTCATTCCATGCCATTGGACTTTGCCTACGTTTTTGACAAGGACCTTGGCTAAGTTCTGGCAAATACCTTTTCCACATTCGAAAGGATGAGGGATTGGGGAACGCTTAGATGTCATCAACAAGGATTGCCTTTTTATTTTCCCCTTTTGCAGCATCTTTTTTGCCTTTTCGATGTTACCCACTCAACTGATCATTACCTTGAACCAGCTACAATGTTTTCCACTTGTGGCATTAATTTCTGCTGTGTAAGCAGATAAATTGCAAAATGTCAAAAGTTGTTGACAGTCATTGGCATCAAACTGGAATCCAGTCACTTTGCCGCACCCTTACTTTGCGAAAACAAGTGGAGATGAGGTGTCTATCAGCGGGCAAAGTGAACTCAGACACTTTATAGATTTTCTGGGCTTCCGCAGTCAGATTATGTCTCAAGTATTGAGGCATCAGATTCCATTTCTTCCCACCATTGAAAAATTTAGCTAATCTGATTATCTTGCTTCGAAAGAAATATACTCATATCCAAGTTATTATACTCGTAACTAGGCTTAGTCAGAAATATACCAACCAGCTTAAACTTTCTACAATAATTATACCTCAATAAATATTGGAATTATGTTCGGCAGGGGCGATGTAATCAATATGTAATCAATACCACATTTTTAAGCTCGTAACCAGTACACTTCGCTGAAGAGGATGTAATCTTAAGCTCCGTACCTTTGACTACAGTGTTCAAGATTTGAAGGTTTGAATTCGTGGAAGTCGTCAAATAGCGACACGGTGCACAAGTATTCGCGAGTAAGATCCTCAAGGCAGGACACTCTACCTTCTGGCGGCTAATTAACTAATATACCCCTGCGGTCCGCCAATGGCATCGCCAACAATTACAGACAATTAGGCGCGGCACGAAATTGAATGTTTGCCCTCATCACACGAAAGTATCTCTCTTTGGGCCAAAACCTGTGACCATTACGCCCCCGAGATATTTGGGGCTTTCTGATGGCGAACTAATTAAAAAGGGGAGGTTGGGATAAGACAGTCCACGAAAGGATAAGGAATTATTGCCTAAAAGACACAGTCATTGGCAGTTATTTTAAACGCAAATATTTGTATTGTTATACTGATTAAACAACATCTGTGCTGGTAGAAAATATTTGTTTCATTGCTTTAGCAACCTTTTAACTTGGCTTTAATAACTCCTATTATTAAAAGGGTTTGCTAGATACGTTAAATAGTATGAAAAAGTTAGAACGAAGCGTTTCCGAACCTATAAAAGCTAGAAAGTTGAGATTAAAGCCA